GGAGAAGACCCTGATGCTGGGAAAGATTGAAGGTCAAAGAAGACGGGGACGGCAAAGGATGGGATAGTCAGACAGTGTCATAGATGCAACGAACATGAAATTGAGCAAACTTCAGAGGACGGCGGAACACAGGAAGGCCTGGCGTGATCTGGTCCATGGGGTTGCGAAGAGTCGGACTCGACTGTGCGACTGAACAACAACAACAAAAACTGTAGGCTGACACAGCTTGCCCTCTGAAACTCTTCTCAACAGGTCAGCTGTGTTGGACTGCCATGGAATAGCAGGGTTTGAGTCCAGTAGCACCTTATGAGACCACCAACTGCAAGGAGATCAAATCGGTCAATCCTAAAAGAAAGCAACCCTGACTGTTCCCTGGAAGGCCACATACTGAAGTTGAAGCTCAACTACTTTGGCCACCCAATGAGAAGGGAGCACTCACTGGAGAAGAAGACCCTGATGCTGGGAAAGATGGAAGGTCAGAGAAGACGGGGATGGCAAAGGATGAGAGGGATAGACAGTGTCATAGATGCAACAAACATGAAGTTGAGCCAACTTCAGAGGACGGCGGAAGACAGGAGGGCCTGGCGTGATCTGGTCCATGGGGTTGCGAAGAGTCGGACTCGACTGTGCGACTGAACAACAACAACAAACACACACACACACACACACATATGCTAAAATGCCAAAATATATGAAAACACAAACTGCAATTGAAATCACAGCATAAGATCATCAGTGCTAAGAACACAGATATCGATACAAGATGGCGGCGTTCTCTCAACATTGGAAGGTCGCCTACCACCATCGTCCAGGTTCCTGCCAGGCTGTTGGCAGCCGAGGAGAGGGCTCGCAGGAATGGGTTTAAATTATGGGCAGGAAGGTACCGGCTGGATATTAGGAAAACCCTTGTTTACAGTCAAGAGTTGTTCAGCAGTGGATTCTGCCGCCTAGGGAGGTGGTGAGGTCCCCCTCCCCACCAGTCTTTAAGCAGCAGCTGTCAGGGGTGCTCTAGGCTGGTCCTGCACTGACCAGGGGGTTGGGCTGGATGGCCCACAGGGCCCCTTCCAGCTCTGTGATTCCAAGGTTCTGTGCTCTCTGCAGCAGTATCATTGGTGTTCGCATTGGTGTGTTTATCCTGCTCTTCAGCCCAAGAGCTCTGAACGTCTCGGCTGTCCCTTCCGCTGTTTTGTCTTTACAGCAGTGCTTGGTGTGATTTCTGCTGCCATTGCAAAACAGATGTTGCTGCAGTTAATGTTGAAAGAAGCTGATATTATATCTCTTTGACAAATATTTTTGCAGTTGAGGCTTGTGTCGTTGTAGAGTGGAACCTTCCCATGCATTCATGCAATACATCCTATTCCTTTCTTTAACTTGTGGTTATATTTGAATGGTGGTCAGGGAAAGGAAAAATAAAATTTTAGTGGCAACCCTGGAGCTCACCACCTCCCCAGGCAGCTGACCCCACTGTTGCACGACTTTGACTGTCAAAAACCACTCAAGACCGTCATGTTTGCAGAAAGCACTTTATTATTGTTATTGGTATTATTAGGTATGATTTTACTGTTTTATCTGGTTTTATGTATGGGCTTATGCCCCTTGTAAGCCGCCCTGAGCCCGCTCGCAAGGAGGGCGGGGTAAAAACGCCTAAATAAAATAAATTAATAGATAAATAAAAAGCCCCCCCCCCCATATCCATCTGGTACCTTCCCGCCCTTAATTTAAACCTATGATTGTGAGTCCTCTCCTCCGCTGCCAACAGGAAGAGTTCCCCGCCCTCCTCTAAGTGACAGCCCTTTAAATACTTCGAGAGAGCCATCCTGTCCCCCCTCCGCCTCCTCTTCGCTAGACTGAACACTCCCGAGTCCCTCGGCCTTTCCTCCTAGGGCTTCGTCTCCCTACTCGTACTCCGTCCCTTTGCTTTCTCAGGGAAGTCCTCTCACTTCCGCTTGGTCGAACTCTCTGGAGGCTGCATTAAAATCGACGGCGTGAAGATCAACGACATCGGCCTGGCGGATCTCCGGAGCAAGCTCTCCATAATCCCCCAAGAACCCGTGCTGTTCAGTGGAACTGTGAGGTGGGTGTGCCCAGCCGGAGTGGGAAGTGCCCGCAGGAGAGGTGGATGTTCCACCACACTGGGACATCTATGCGCAAGCGGCTTTAGAATATAAGTCGCTCGGCTGGTTCCGTGCTGCCGCTCCATTTCCAGTCGCACGCAAGGGAGAAAATGGTCAGGATTGCGTCCAAAAGACAATTGGTTGTCATTCAGGCACATAATAGCGTGAAAGGTTGTGTTTGCGTTTGTTTATTTATTTATTAGGAACCAGTTTGGTGTCGTGGTTAAGAGTGCGGACTCTAATCTGGGAGAACCGGGTTTGATTCCCCACTCCTCCTCCACATGCAGCTGCTGGTGTGACCTAGGGTCAGTTATAAGTTCTCTCTGAGCTGTCCTCTCAGGAGCAGTGCTCGAAAGAGCTCTCTCAGCCCCATCTCCCGCATAGTGTGTCTGTTGTGGGGTTGAGAAGGGAAAGGGATTGTAAGCCGTTCTGAGACTCCTTCGGGTAGTGAAGGGCAGGGTATAAATCTCATCTCATAAATCTCAGAGCCAGTTTGGTGTAGTGGTTAAGTGCACGGACTCTAATCTGGGAGAACCGGTTTTGATTCCCCGCTCCTCCTCCACATGCAGCTGCTGGTGTGACCTAGGGTCAGTTATAAGTTCTCTCGGAGCTGTCCTCTCAGGAGCAGTGCTCGAAAGAGCTCTCTCAGCCCCATCTCCCGCATAGTGTGTCTGTTGTGGGGTTGAGAAGGGAAAGGGATTGTAAGCCGTTCTGAGACTTCTTCGGGTAGTGAAGGGCAGGGTATAAATCTCATCTCATAAATCTCAAAGCCAGTTTGGTGTAGTGGTTAAGTGCGCGAACTCTAATCTGGGCAAACCGGGTTTGATTCCCCACTCCTCCTCCACTTGCACCTGGCTGGATGACCTTGGGCAAGCCGTAGTTCTTGAAAAAGAGCAGTTTCTGTCAAGAGCTCTCTCAGCCCCACCTGCCTCACAGGGTGTCTGTTGTGGGGAGGGGAAGGAGTTTGTAAGCCGCTCTGAGACGCCTTCAGGTAGTGAAGGGCGGGGTATGAATCCAGTCTCTTCCTCTTCTTCTTCATCTCTTCTCTTCTTCTGTTTCGATTTATACCCCGCCCTTCCCGCAAGCAGGTTCAAGGCGGCTCGCGACCATTAATCAACGCAATCTTGAAAACAATTCAGTCAGGTAATAACAAATCTACAATAAAGTCAATTTGAAACAGCGCAGTGGGCAGTGCAGCATCTGCAGTTTCAGTTCCTGCAGCCGGGAAACGAGTGGGCCAGTGCCGAGCCATGGCGGCCTCATACAGCAGCAACAGGGAGGCCAGCTGGTAGACGTCCGCTGCCTCAGCCAAAGGCCTGGGGGAACAGCTCCATTTTGCAGGCCCCACGGGTCTCGCGGGGCCCTGATCTTGATCGGAAGCACGTTCCACCAGGCCTGGGCCAGAGCCGAGAAGGCCCTGCTTGAGGCTAGGCGGGCGTCTTTCGGGCCGGGGACAACCAGCGGGTGGCTATCCGCAGAGTGCAAGGCTCTTCGGGGCCACCTATGGTAGAGGCATTTGAATTTACCTAGTTGCCTCATTTCTCTTGCACAGAAATCAGATGTTTGATTTCAAGGGCTCAGACTCCCAGGCAGTCTGCAGAAAGCGAACAGAACTTGTGTGTTTTTAAAAATCTCAATTTGAAAGAAGGAGAAATTTGCCAGTTTGGAGCCTCTGAGGGGAGGGGCTGTGGATTGACGGAAGAGCCTCCGGTTTGCATACAGAAGGTTCCAGGTTCAGTT